TACCCCCCCCCCCCCCCAGTCACAAGGGTCCACTGCGCTCAAGTCCTTCTTCCTCCCTATTGGCTGTCATGCTCTTCCGTTTTCAGAGGCTGTTTCTCGAAGGCAGTTGCATCAAGACACTGTGAAATTTTCATTGTCTACCTGCTGTGTTTCTTCAGTATTCATTTAGAGTTCATAAACACATTAAGTACAAACTGTCAAGATAAGTTAAGAAATGTCATTGCACTACCACCACCACCACCACCACAGCCGCCATTGTGTTGATAATGGTTCAGCTTTTTCAGCTTTCCATCACAGCTCATCGTGTAACCATGGCAACCACAGAAACTACAGTAAGACAGGAGCTGATTTCACAGATACTGAGTTATCTTAGCGGCACATCTCTTCACCAGCAGATAGACAGATCAAAGAAGAGAAACGGTGTTGGAGCAACATCAGCTTTAAAGTTTGATTACGTTTTCTGTCTCACTGGGAGTTTGATGGAAGGTTGATATCAGTTTGGTGTTTCTGTGTTCAGTGGGACTGGTCTGGGATGTGGTTTGTGGTGTGTGGTAGGTGGCAGCCTCTACCAAAAGAGGACAAACGTGATTCCAGGCTAATTCAAGAGTTTTCTTATAAAGATTTTGTGTGTTCTGGGGCTTCTGATGTGATCAGTGTGAGCCACAGGTATGTGTACATTCAGGGTGTGCTTGCTGTCCAAAAATCTGGGAAATGAAGAACCCATAGGACCGGTAAAATAAAGTGTCACTGTGTTTACTTTTCCTCCTGTGAGTGAGTGAAGACCCTTGCCTGCACTGTGTCTCATGTTCTAGGCTGGTCAAGAAGCTCTTAACAGAAGAGACAGGGCTGGTTCCGCCCAGAATACTGCAGGCAGCGTCTGAAGGAGGTCACTCATGAAGTAACAACGCTGATGCTTCTGACTAACCACTGGCCGCTTTGCTGTGACACCCTCACTCCCAAACCCACCCACCCCACCCCTCCCCTCCCTTCCCTTCCCTCCTTTACTTCAACTTTGTCAATTGCTCCTTCACTCTCTGACTTAATAGTTGGGCCACGTGCCAAGGGATTGGGTGGGGAGGGAGAGACTGTCGGGTGGAGTTCAGCTTGGATGGAAGTATGGAGCGGATGAGGGTGGAAGAGCTTTGGCTTGTTGAGTTGAATATTCAGAGCATGATGTAACCGACTGCAGCACATTCTCTTTACGGCACTGATTTTTCTATCTGTTTCTCTCTCTCTCTGTATCTCTCTCTCTCTCTCTCTCTACCTAAGACGCCTGGGAGTGGACATAGAAAGAAAAAATATATTTTGAGGCCAAGATTTATCACCTCAGTGGTGTAAGATTGTACATGACGTGCCTTGTGTCGTCATTTTGAAGAGACACGTGTGCTCAAAAATGTTTTGTCGTGAGGGTCTACATGAGGTGCTCTGTGGAGAGGCAAAGCAGGAGGAATTGTGTGAAACTCCTGTTCATTTTGTGAAGAGACAATTTTGGGTGACTGGCACTCGGATTGAAGACTTGGACGACATGAAATTAATGATCTCCTGATTTAATCATCAGCACAACAGATAAGTAACTGTATTAGAAAAACATAAGGATAGGAAAAGTCAACTACAGCTCCCGAAGCAGTCATTAGAAACATCCAGTTACCAAATATAAAACTCTGTCACTGATTGTGGCGCGAGCTGGAGCTAAACAATATGTTTTGATGAAAGCTGATGAAAAATTCAGCAGTTTAATTCCAGTTTGGATTCCAGGCCCATTTTTAGATCAAATTTGGCAACTGTGACAGTGTTTTGTTCCAAACTGCAGCAATATACCTCGGATTTGTAGCTTTTAATTTGCTTTTTTTTTCCATAGAAAGGATGGCTTAGGTTCATGGGTATTGTAGTATTCAGAGCCATCAGGTACAGCATAATGAAGTTCGAATAATTAGAACCTGTGGCCATACCATAAGCTTAACACTTTGTTTTAGCTTGAACATGCATTCACCCAGGGAATCTGTCATGTCTGTATCATCCATCCCATTTGTCATGAATGTAGTGTTACACACTAACCTGATTACAGCTCTGTCACATTATTGTCCCGGTGCCCTTTCACCTCCCCCACTGGCTGTCTACACCATATGCATATCAACAGTGTTAATGACTAGATAATCCACGTAGCGTTCAGCCAAAACCATAGAACAACAGTTATAACTGTGAAATAAGTGTTAATAGTAGTAGTAGCAACAGTGGAACATTAAAATCTTACAGATTTTCTACTTTTAAGAGTAAGAGTTAAGTTACTCTGTGTGAACGTCATTAAAAGACAACTGGAGAGGAATTCACAGTGGGCAAAAATACCTCTTGAACCGAGCTCCTCTCACTTCAAAACTCTTCTCAAAACGCTTTTCCTCTTAACTGAGAGCTTCCTATCCACATATCTTTTATATCAATCTGGACCTCGCATGAACTTTGAGCACAGGTTCTATATCACCATACTGTGCCGATGAGTTCATGGTTTAATGCCACAAACAGGACAGCCACTCCTGGGGTCTGCACTCTCTGACTGTCTCTCAGCTCTCTTGCCTCATTGTCCCTCTGTTCTCAATCCATCTCTCCACCGTCTCCTCCCTTTAATGCCGCCTTGACGGCTGGTCCTTGAAGTGTTTGTTGTGGCCTTGCTTGTTTTGTTATGACTCTCTATCCTCTCATCATCAAAACAGCTAGCCTCTTCGTTCTCCTCATTTGTCCTCCTTTTCTCTCCCTTTCATCTCTTTCTTCTTCTTCTTCTGTGTTTTGATTTTTTCTTGTGTGTGTGTGAATAAGACAGGATTTCACACTCGAGCAGTTTCTCTTCAGTATTTTGGTTAAGTGAAGCCCGTTTACAAAAAGCTCTCTCCACCTGTCTGCGTTGATTGCCCATATCTGCCTTTCCTATAATTCTTTATGCACTGTACTTGCAGACATTGTTGCAGATATTGAATGCCTCATTATTACAGTATACAACAACCCCCCCTGGTCAATATCACTGAAATGTTAAGTAATTACAATTCCTGTTCATTCAAGAAACAGAAATGTTTGACTAATTAAACTATAAAGAAAGAATTATTTAAGAGCCACAGCAACAACAGTCAGTACACCCTTCGTTAGTGAGATTCAATTTACTTTTCTGTGGACAGATGTTCGGCCATTCTTCACAGGTGATTCTTTCCAGCTGCTGTTTGTTGCAGGGGTTTTGTAGCTCTACTTTCCACATTAAAATACTCAAAACGTTCTATTGGATTCAAGTCAGGGGACATACTTGGCCAGGTCATATTTTTTTTTACTATTTTCTTCTTTAAAAAATTCCTCTCCTGCCAAGTGTCTTGAGACTGGGAGTCACCTTTTTATTCAGTATTTTTATGTACAAACTTGCATTTATTGTGGCATCTATAAAAGTTATCTTCTCAACACCTTTTGCACTCATGCAGCCCCATATCAACACAGTCTCACCTCCATGTTCCACGTTTGGCACTTTGCTGTCACTGTGGTAGTCCTGACCAAGTCCATACCAGACATACTGCACCCCCATCTGATCCAAACAAATTTATTTTTGTTTTTTTCTAACCAAAGAATGTGCTGCCAACATTCATCACGCTTACTTTCATTGTCTCTGGCAAAGTTTATTCTTGCAGTTTTGTGCTGTTTTGTAAGTAATGGTTTTCTGCTTGGATGCCATCCACAGAGGTTGACATCATGCAGTGTCCTTCTCACTGTCTGATCAGTCACCGAAACACAGATTTCCACAGATAATCTTTGTGCCAAGTCAGAAGCACTTACCCATCTGTTTTCAATGCAAGGTTGCATAAACAGCAAATTGTAAGTGGGTTTATTTTTCAAAGCCAATAGCAGAAGCCACTGTGCCTATTTTTATTGATAGTATTGCTCTTCCTTATCAGCTTATGTCCAGAGCTTACTGATGCTCTTGTACCCTCTCCCATCTTTTTGAAGTCTCACAATCCTGTTTCTTACTTGTTCAGGCAGTTCCTCACCCTGTGGACACAACCCAGACCAAAACTGAGAAAGATGTAGTGTTTACAGGTTATTTTATAACCTTGTTCTTCCAATTAGGAAATGAGCTGTACTCACTTTTGTTGCATTGAGGTTGTCCTTGGGGCCTTATTTACAATCTAGTCTATCTAACGTGTTTACTTTTAATTATATATAATATCAAACAAATTTTGAAATAATACAAATACTGCAAGATGACACAGTTTTTAATCATTTCACATTTGAGCGATATTGTCCAGGGGTGTACTAATAATTGTGTATTGTAATTTTGTTGTATAGGCTACTGTATGTCTTGTATTCTGTATGCTTCATTGTTTGGTTTGTTATGTTTGATTGGTACTCTAGTCTGGGCTGTGCATCCCCCCTCTCAAACACTGTGTTTGAATGCCACAGTTTGTCCATATTTCTCCACTCCTGTTTTGTTTTTTTTCAAAGATGCTAAGATGCAAGATTGTATTTAAAGTTGAAGCTGACATAAATCTTTCTGTTTTTCCAGATATCTTCACGGATCTGTGTACAGCAGCACTCTCTGACTTGGACGAAAATGAAGCCAGTACGTGGGAAAGCGTGTCTCAGGACAGCAGATGAACACAGCTGACTATTGTAGTTCATTACATTGGCCTACAAGCATTTTGTTGGATGACAAACATGACTGATAACTAACTACTCTAGTTTTTTCAACTGCAATTTCCTCAGATGGATTTTAAATATCAACGACTATTAGTTTTCTACTTGTAGTTCTTCGTTTGGACTACAAATATGGCCTGTTGATGTTTTTAAACCACAGTTTTTCATGTCTTACTCATTGAGGGTTCTCAGTGAAGCCTCTGAAAAAAGCTGGAACCGTAACATACCTGAACGCTGCCATGGGAAAGCCATATAAGACTTTTAATTCAACCAGCTGTCGTCTACATGGCAGTGAAGACTGATGGATGTGGATGCTGACTCTACATCCAAAATGTGGATAAATTCACATTACAAACTGCAGTTCCAGAGTGGTTGGGCTGGATACCTGAAATCAAATCCCATTTATGACTTATATAACAGGAAAAGTTATAAATTCCATGTGCTGGTTGTGAGCAGGCCTTTTCCTGTTTTTGCAGATACGCTGGGCTGAAGCAAAAAAAACTTAGGCCCTGGCCACACTGCATACCTCACCTGTGTGTGACGGCGCCCATGTTAACAGGTTAGAGCAGCCACACAGCCCGCCTGAGACGGGGGTGTGAGGTGCAGCATCTCGAGTTACGACATGGAGCCTATTATGCAGACGTGAGATACGCGGTTCTCGGCAAGAATAGACAGTGAAAGGATGTGTTGATAGTCATATTGACATCATGCCAGCAAAATTACATAAAACTGACACCTCTCAACGTCTAGGTTGATTCTGAATATGTCACAGACAGAGAAGAAATTTACATTTTGTGTTATTAAAGGAGAAACTGGCGGCTACATGCGGACTATATTGTCATAGGAGAAACTAGACTGTAATTAAAGTATATAATGTTAATAAGCAAACAGTAGTTTTCTGCTGCTCTCTCTCTCTCTTCCTCTCTCTCCCTCTCTCCCTCTCTCTGTGTGTGTGTGTGTGTGTGTGGGTGTGTGTGTGTGTTTCAACAAAATATAAATTAAATTTAGCATGAAAAGAAATCAAACATTCTATTAATGATGGCCATAATCAAAGGTAAACTCAGTGTTTAAAGATAGGACTGGCAATAGCGGCGCCGCAGCAGTAATGCTGGCAGTGTAGCCGTTCAATGAGGTAGCTGTCATGCACAAATGAGGTAAGCGGTGTGGCCCAGCCGTCCAGGACCAGGTTCTGCCTCTGCTGCCTCGCTTCAGCTGCTTCAGCTTTATAGATACTCCACAATAGCTGCAGTCTCCAGAGAAAACCTCGAATTTGTCTTGCTTGCCTTTCTTTGCCCTGTCATTACGTTACATCAGCTTTGTTAACTCAACGTGCTTATTCTCACACTCTGCGGATTCACAGATTATGTCTATAAATTGTGGTAAGAGGTTGAATGATATCTCTGTTTCATAAATGAATTTATAATCCAAACGTTATTCTCTGTGCACTGAAAGAGGGGAAAAAAAACACAATTTACTCTATGTGGAAAGAGCTTGTATTATATCCTGTTTGATTTCTTAGTTTTTTTCACTTTGGGACAGTCTTATAAAGTTGATATGGCTAATATGTTAGCAAACACCTGCCTAGACATCAAGCAGAAATAGAGTTACACTGGAATTCATGTGTTTCTGGCAAACTGACAAATGTAAGTCACATGTTAACTGTCTTTCTTGCTGTGTTTTGGGCTTCACCAGCTTTTGTGGAATATAACTGAGTATATATTCTGTGTAAAGACATAGAAAATCACTTGTCACTAACTTTGTCTGCCTTCTGGTGCCAAGCAAGGTGATGTGAAGCTTGTGTAGGGTAGCTTGTTTGCCTAAAGAAGCTCTCTGATGCATCCAGAAACAACATTGATGAAAGCTGTAAGACCAAAACAACAAAAACAAGACTAGGTCAAAACCTAGTATATGGCTGGTCCATGTATGGTCAATGTGAAGAATTGAGGACGTTGTTGATAACTGCTGTTAACATCTGTCAATGGAAGGTAGCTATAGCCTGCATGAAAAGTTGCTAAATGTAGCTGGATGACATAATACGGCAATTAGCATATTCATGACATCATTGCGTTGTATTGTATAGTATTTTAATACAGACAAACTCCCAAAAAGCTGTTCTCATTTACATGTTTTTCTGTTTCCATTGTCAGACAACGGAACAAGTATAAAATAGTGATTAAAAACATGGCCCATTAAGATTACTTGTTAATAACCAGCAGTCACTCCCAAGCCATTTCCAAGCTGCCGCTCTGCTGCTGCCTAAATCCTGATTGTATAACCACAACGTCGGGTTGGGGTCTGAAAAGCTTGATGTAATAGAAACTGTTTGTACCAATTCATTTTGAGAGAGTAACAGCCAGTGAAAACTCCAACATTTGGTTGACAGATCAATCATGTAACTTCATTACATGTCTGATAATCCATAAATAGAATCAATCAGTCAGTCAGTCAGTCAGTCAGTCAATCACTTAGTCAGACATTCACATTTATAGGCCATAAAATAAAGTGCTATGTCAGGCGTGCAACAATTGAGAAAAATCTAATTTAAAAGAATTTCCTTTATTAGCTAATGACAGCTAAATTACTTCCCAGCAGAAAATCCATGTGAAAAATAAATCAATCATAATGTGTTTCCCAGTGTATTATTTATACATGGACAGTGAATAGCAGACAGAAGAAGCCAAATGACTTTTGATGCAAATTAAGCATTACTGAGGCACATCTCCTCTTTAGATGGATGGGGTGCTAGTGTAAATCATGTTTTAGGAAACAGATTTATCTCTCTGACATGTTATGCTACTTGGACTCATCTCTACATAATGGGATTTTCACTAGCACGCTTTTTGAGAACATAAGTTGTGAGAAAGGTCAGGGAATTGTTAGATTATTTCCTGCAAGTGATTTTTCAGGAAAATGCTGTTTTAGCAAGCAGCACCTGGGTTGTTTCCTAACATCAGCTGCATAGGCTTCACCTATTCAGAGAGGAAAATAGCACTGTACAATGAATTGTAAATGTAAGTAAACATCAATGTTTATTTACATTTGCAGCGCATTCTAGTATTTTGTTTTTGTTGTAAAGATCCATTTTCTGTATGATTGCTGTACTGTTGAACATCATTCTCCCTCTGAGGTTTTTTGACATTATATTGCATTTCTACTGACAAATAGAATTCGCTGAGAATTAACAAAACAGCACCGTTGTATTTACAAAAAACGTTACGTCATGTCACAGGAAGGAGCCTAAATACATCGTGTTTGTACTGGTTTAAATGACAGCTCCTTTGATTGACAATGAGTCTGTAACTTATTAGAAATGGGAAGAAGAAACCAAAAGCATATCAAAAGGTGCAATATTCCCCTGATAACTGTAAGAAAGCTACAATAAATTAAAAAAATGACTGGATGATGCATAGAAGGATAGGAAGATGGGTGGGTGAGTGAATGGATGGATGACTGGATAGTTACGTAGGTAGACTGGTGGTGATGGATGGATGGATGGATGTATTCATGGTTGTTTAGAAGGATGGATGGATGGATGGATGGATGGATGATGCAAAAGATGGATGAATAAATGGATAAATGGTCAGATGGACTGACAGACAGACAGATAAAACATTTGGACACTGACTGGATTACCATCTGTAACAGAGGGCAGAACTGTATTAAAGGTCATGTGTATGATTGTAAAGAAAGTCACTCCTATTGAACATGCTGTATATTATGTTCATCCTGTGTTAAATGAAAAATATTGTATCTTTATAAGGAAAATATTTCAGTTGTACTGCATCCTGCTGCAATTTAATTGCCACTTAACAATACTATAGAATGTATCATGTCTATATATTGTATCGGTCATTGTACATATTGTTTCATTGTGATAATATTCATTTACAATATGAATTTTGTCACTCTGTTTTTTTGTATTTCAAACCTATCTATTATTCGTATCTTAAAGATGCATGTAGGACACACATAGAGATGCTAAATGTAGCACTTGAAATTAAGACCACATTTCTTACAGAACATGTTACTTCCTGTTGAAAAAGTAATGTTCCTACCACAGCACAAAGACAAATACAGTCAGACAGCATCCTCTGATATCAGCCACTATCCAGTAACCAGGTGATCTAATCACATAAAATGATTCCGTTATTATACATAAAAGAAAAACAAGGTTTCTGAACAGGAAGTAATGTCTGTGGCTTTGTGACAGCTTTTGCCTTTTCGGTTTCTAAACGTTTTTTGATCTGTTTGTGCTGGAAGCACAGCACCTCCTCCGTAACAGTGCCAAAAGTTTTATGCAGACTTTAATGATAAAAAATTGATATTTTGTGTGCAATTAGTAAACTCTTGAATTACTGAATCATGTACAAATTCATAATTTGCACTCACAAATCAGAAAAAAAACATCACAAGAAGAAAACAACATAAATAGGCCTAATCTGTCACCCTGTTAAATATGTTTAAAGGATGTTAAATATCACAGTTTGTGTTTGACAGGCAAAACCCAAAGTATATTCATCCATAAACCCAAGTGGTTCATTTGGTGAGTAAATCCTGTTTTTGGAAAGGATTTATCTCTCTGACATGTTATGCTACTTGGACTCATCTCTACATAATGGGATTTTCACTAGCACGCTTTTTGAGAACACAAGTTAATTTTTTTTTTTGCATGACAGGAAATTTGCTATAATGCATTCCTTCAGAGGGGGCAAGACACACAAGCAGACAGTCTGTCAGACATCTATATGTTACATCTGCGTTAGCTAGTTAGCCAGCCTTATCAACCACTGTTCATCAAGATTTTACTGAGAGGCTCAGTAATGACAGCATAGCTACCTCTGCTGGAAGACAATGCTTGTGAACTATATGGAATATTATGAATAAGATGTGTTGCCATGCTTCAGTATTGTGCTAATGTTTTAGCATAACAGAATAGAGCTTTCATATTGTGATGTAACCACTGTACTGAAAGGATCTGTCAGTGCGTTGCGACAGCGATAACCCTAAACCAGGGATGCCAGGGTGAAATTGGTCAGGGGGCCAGATTTTTTTCAAGTGAGACCTCAGCGGGCCGAATTACACTTTTGAACTGAAAAGACCAAAAACTGACTCAACATCACTGTTTGAAATTATTCATTAAGGCCTACACATCAAAAAGAAATTGCATTGGCACCACAATAGCCTCACAATGAGGCCTACAATTACATAGAAGCCTAAAGCAAGTTACAGTACCCTGTGAAAACGTAACATTGTCCTATCCATGCTAGGGCTGTCAAAATTGCTCAAAAATGACGTTCGAATATTCCCTCTAAAAAACACATATATTCAAACTATTTGAATATCTATTTGCGCATTATTCAATGACGGGCATCACATCAATACCAGGACAAACTAATACAACGAGACATACTGTATAGATAGGCTAGTTTATTTAAGTTTAAACATATTTGACAACATATTACCTACATAAAAATAACATGAACTAATGGCCAAGACCGCAGAGCTCACTCTAGCTCTCACACTTGCTCGCTTGCGCACTCTCTCTCTCTCTCTCTCTCTCTCACCCGCCCGCCCCCTCACGCTCTCTGTGCATACTAGTTTAAATGAACAACAACAATAAACAAATGCTGAGTGCTGATCAAAAGTTTTGTGCAAGCAATTTAAGCTTAGGGATGGGCGATGTCTCCTTCACTGGTAGGCTATATCGTCCACGCGCGAGGGGAGGAGGGGGGCTCACTGCGCTGTTTGTCTCCCGCTCCGTGCTCAAAGTCACACCAGGCAGTCTATGCAACTGACGGGTTCCACGAAAATTAAAATAAAAAATAAAACATTAGATTTAAATAAAAATAAAACTCTCCCATATCAACCCACGGGCTGGATGTGATGTTCGCGGGCCGTAACCATGGCGTCCCTGCCCTAAACTAACGTCAGTCAAACAACGTTAGATTGGAGATAATGC